AAATAAATAAACAAACAAATAAATAAATAAAAATATTGCATCAAACTATTACTTATCTTGATTCCTGAGATTTTTGCCTTCCCCACCATCCTTAAATTCCTCGCCGGATGTGAATGCCTCACTTGCCTCAGCCTAATCCTGGCCCTGCCACCCTTTCTATGGTCCATGGCCACAATCTGATCCACTTCTATCAAAGTTCTGCTCAGGGTGCTCCGGCTGTCATTTTCACTTAAGAAAATCCACATCGTGGGGCACCTGGGTGGCTCAGTCAGTTGAACATCTGCCTTCGACTCAGGACACGATCCCAGGGTCCTGGGATCAAGCCCCATGTTGGGCTTCCTGCTCAGCGGAGAGTCTGCTTCTCCCTCTACTCCTCCCCCCTGCTTGTGCTCTCTCTCTCTCTCTCTCTCTCTCAAGTAAATAAATAAAATATTTTTTAAAAAAAGAAAGAAAATCTACATTGTGCTGAGATAGACCTGCAGGTACAGTAAGTCTGTTAAACATACTGTCAGAGACTCCATCTTCTGTGGTCTCTTAATTGTGACTTAAAGAAATTCAACTGCACATATCTCGTGTGTTTGCTATAAGGTTTTTCTACAAAGACTTCGGTCTTCAACCAAGGTTTATGTTTTTTCTTACCTTACCACTTCTCTGTGCGTGCTGCCTACAGGCACCCCAGAGTCTCCATTTGTCTGATGGACTTTCCTCCAAAAGCAGCCTCATAAAGAGGGACAGAAGGACTTGCAGACCCCCAGAAGTGTTCACCCCGCCCCCCATCCTCCAACTACTCCACCCTCCACTCACTCATACAAATCTAGCAAGAGGAAGCAGACAATAACACAGAAGGGGCTAGAATTATCTCCATGCCCATTGGATTCACGTTCCGGCCCAATGCCCAAGAGCTTCCAAGCCCAGAGAGAGGCAGCAGATAGGAAATGTGAACACAAATGTAAGTGCACCAAAACTTCATTATGAGCAGTCACCCCGTCTGTCAGGACTGTGGCCAGCCCCTCTGCCTCAAAGCCTTACGGCTAACCCAGTTCACAAAGCTGCTGCAGGGTATGGAGGAGGCATCCACGATCACTGAGAACAATTCTTCTGCTCAGAGAAGGGAAGTGACTTGCTTTCAAGCTGCAGTGAGAGGATTCAAGCCAGGTGTTCCAACACCTAGTTCACTGTTCTCACCACATTACTCTAAAGTCACTTCCCAAGTGCTAAAAACACCTTTAGAATGAACGATTTTTATTGATTTTGGAACTTCCATTGACTTTGGAAACATAGTTGCCCTGAAACAAGACAAAATCTTTGAGTTCAGAGAAGTATTCCCATCTTGGGGCGCCTGGGTGGCGCAGTTGGTTAAGCGGTGGGCTCTTGGTTTTGGCTCAGCTCTGATCTAGGGTTTGTGAGATCGAGCCCTGCATAGGGCTTGCACTGAGCAAGGAGTCTGCTTGAGCTCCTCTCTCCCTCTCCCACTGCCCTTCCCCCTCCAAAATAAATAAGTAAATCTTTAAAAAAATAAAGTATTCCCATCTATATAAAACAAATCAACCAGGCTATGAAGAGAGTGAGCCAATCATAGCAAACACGTTTTGAACAAATAGTAAAACCCCCCAAACATGGGGCGCCTAGGTGGCTCAGTCAGTTAAGCATCTGCCTTCGGCTAAGGTCATGATCTCTGGGTCCTGGGATCGAGCCCCACATCGGGCCCTTGCTCAGCAGGGAGTCTGCTTCTTTCTCTCTCTCCCTCTGCCTCTCCCCCCTGCTCATTCTCTCTCTCTCTCCCCCCCACACACATAAATAAATAAAGTATTTTTTAAAAACCCACAACATAAAACCACACCTCAAGTGCGCTCTGGGGGATAGGTCTTCCCTAACTATGCTGCCAGTTAGCGCTCCCCAAACCTCTATCCCCACCCCCCACCCCCGGCATTTTCTCTCCCTCCCTCTTTATTTCCTTCACGGAAGGTATCACCACCTATCACTGGCGAGCTTCCATGTCTGTGTACCTGCTTACTCTCTGAGATCCCCGTGGGCTGTAAACCCCGTGAGGGCAAAGACTTTACAGATCATTTTCTCCTCCAGATCCTGGGTGTTGCACACAGTAAGCTCAACAAAGATCTGCTGAAGAAATATACGGATGATGGCAGCCTCCTGTCCTCAAAGCTTCCATCCTTCAGCTTCCTGTTCTCGAATTCCCTTCTCCTTCTCACCTGACCCTGCAAGGAAAAACACAAAGCCTCTCCATCCCTCAAGGCAGGTTTCTAATCATCTGAGACTAGTGAAGGGCAAGAGTTAACCAGAGAAAGGGAAGAAGTTGGCTGTGACTTACTGGTTGCTTAGTTCTCTTATTTCACACGGCTTGAAGCACCATTCTTTGGCCAGCTTTTCTTGTTGGGATGCTTCTTCTAAAAACACTATCTTTAAAAGAAAGAAAGAGAAGAATCACAAATTAATGAGCCATAGGCATTTGTCGTTGTTACATAGCTAAATCTTTTAAAAAGGTGTTCGATAACCAAATGGGATACAGTTCAGAGACAAAAAGACAGCGGTTTGCTTTTGCTTGTCCAAGGAAGCAAACTGCATGAAATTTCTTTTTCTGCCTTTCTACAAATACAAGTAAGACTTCAAAAATTCTAATTCGAAGATACAGGGGTATTAAAAATGGCTAATTGATACCTATTTCTCCCCACACCCCAAAATGATTCAAGGAAACAATTATTTATAGAAAGTGTACCTCACTGCCGATGAATAAAAGATTTTTGTTAGGCTGTTAAAGGAAACTCACATCCGGAGTACGGTAGTAGGATCTCACGGGGCAAGTTATTAACACTGAATACAATTGCACATAATAATTGCCTGACAATCAAATCTTAGCATGAATTATGTTGATGCTCTGGTGCTGGACATCTGCCATAAAGAGGTCTGCTATATTTTTCTAGTACTGTGGATGAGATGCTAACAGAGCGCTCGCTCACGCAGGCTGAGGAGCCCATGCACAACAGCCGGGAAACCTTGGATGGGCCTCTTATTCTCTCTTGGTCTGGTCTCCCCAGTGCACCCCGGAGATATAATCAGTACATACTTCACAGGGCTATTGTAATGACTAAATATGATAACTGTGGTGAAGAAGTTAGCACATCCCTAGAATATATTAAATACTAGACACATTGTATCTATTGCTGATTCTTTTTTAAATATAGTGTTATTGCCTTCTCTATAAAAATGGATTGCAGAGCAAGAAAAAACAAGGGACAATGGAATATATATGCAGGAAATATCCTGCATTTCATTTATAAATGTAATATTGGGAGAATAAATGTTTTATGGAACATGAAATACTGAAAAAAGACTGCTAAATAAAATGTATCTAATTTATTAGAAGCAAGGCACTATACCGTCTGAAAAATAGTTTGTGGAACTGAAAATAAAGTGAAATAAATGTTGATTTCTCTATTCATTGATGATACGCTTTTTTTAAAAAAATGGGTTTTTTTTTATCTCAGAAGAGAAAATGAAAATGTAATTCCTACAAATGAGAAAATATAATTTGATGATCCTAAAAACAGATTTGAATCAATAAGTATCAAAGCAGATCCATAATTAATTTAAAAAACACAAAAACAATTTATCTCTATAACTCAGAGCTGATTTACCATTAAATACATAAATCACATACATGCATACCTACATAAAAATATTTGTAAAGCACTATATTCACACATTTGAATATATATTTGAAATAAGTGGTTTTTGAGGAAAATATAAATGATCAAAACTCATTCTGGAGAGACAGGGAAACTGAAAGAACTAGTAACTCTAGAAGAAACTGAGGAAGGTTTTTTGTTGTTTCTTTGTTGTTTTTTTTAGAGAGAGAGCGTGAGCCGGTGTGGAGGGGCAGAGGGAGAGAATCTCAAGCACACTTGTGCTGAGCGTGACCCTGAGGCGGATCTCGATCTCACAACCATGAGATCATGACCTGAGCCAAAATCAGGAGTTGTTCGCTTAACCGACTGAGCCACCCAGGCACCCCATGAAGTTTTACTAACCCATTAAGTAAGCCTGTGGTTCAGAACCACACTGTCTAATAGAACTAAAACGCCTGTCATAAATACAAGTTTCTCCTAATAATTGGGGCTCTCCCCTGAGGACATGGTTTTCCCTGTGCTTCTCAAATGGCAGGTGTTCACACATCAGAGTCAGGCAATGAGTTGGTTCCTTCCATACCCACCACAATCCTTCCCAAACCATTTCTCCTGCAGCTTCTTGTAAACTAAATTCCTTTAAGACCCGCCCCTTCCAGCTTTCAAGAGCCTTTCTCTCACTCTCTAGATGTGTTGATGCCTGCCTCACATTCTGTCTCTCCACTCCAAGCCCTGCCTTCATTCCTTTGAAAATCATCGTGGACTTTTGACACCATGACCACCTATTTCCATGAACTCCTTTTCAGCAATTTGTTCATAAACAAATGAACAAATGAAGTTCACGAACTTCATATTACGGTCACACCTTGGACATGCTCATGACCCACAGCTGCTCCACCTCCAAAAATCCTGAAGCACATATCAGGCCACAATGACCTCTCTTTCCAGTTTGCCTTTTCAACTACTCCAACCAATCTTCCACCTGGAAAAGCCCTCCCTTTACCTTCTCCTCTCTACTCTTCCCCAGTCCACCAGTGGTCTTCTTCCACATTGTCCTTGTCCAGCTTAGATTCTACCACCCGTTATTTCATATTTTTTAGTTCTTAGTCAACATACCTCTGGTAGAGGTTCAGCCTTAACTGAATCCAACTCTCCCCTTCTCTGGGCTACACGCGTGGAGCCAGGCAGGGTTGGAGCAAAGCACACGATGTGGTAGATGGAATGTCCATAATCATCAAGATCAAATGTGCTCCTACCAATGCCTGTTGCTGGTGCCCTAAGACATCTCTCTAGCACTGCGGTCTTTACTTTCAGTAAAACAGAAAACATAATTGTATAGCCACCAACAGATCATTAAAAATGTTTTTTCACTGACAGATTAATATTATCAAATAACTCAGAAGGAATTCAAAGAATTGAGAGATATTGCTATAACAAAGCTCCTCCCAGTCACATCCACTTGATTTACATGAAAATGTTTCTCAGCACTTACATCTATAAAAATGGAAAGTAAGAAAAAAATTCATGCTGCTCCTATTTCATTCTACCAACAAGTAACACTCATCCATACATATATTATCTAGTTGGAGAAAAAAACAGCTTTTTTATTTAGCATTTAACAAATTACCTGATGGTCCCAGGAAATTTTAAATACATTTTTGCACACAAATCTGATTGCAATGGTTGATTAATAAAAGACTTTCAAATATAAAACTATATTGCATTAGCATAGACTCTGTAAGGAAAGTAGAATAGAATTAATAGTTCAAGAAGAAAAAGGGACTATATAGCATTTCAGATCATTAAAGAGAAGCTAGTTCATGATTTTCTAAAAAATAGATTAAGGTAGATATCAAATCACTATATTTTTATTCTATCAGATACATTTTAAAAAGTAATGTCACAGTTCAATTTTGACAGGTATATATTTATAATTTGCCAAAAATTATGGGCTTTAAATGTATTTAAATTTAATAAAAACTATACATATCAACTTTTAAAAGTGCAAAAGCACATTAAGTTTTTCAAAATTCCTTTAAGGGGCACATTAGTTTTTTTTTTTTTTTAATTTTTTTTAATTTTATTTTATTTTTATTCATGAGAGACGGAGAGGGGCGGGAGAGAGAGAGAGAGAGAAGCAGAGGGAGAAGCAGGCTCCCAAGGAGCAGGGAGCCCGATGCGGGACTCGATCCCAGGACCCTGGGATCATGACCTGAGCCGAAGGCAGACGCTTAACCATCTGAGCCACCCAGGCTCCCTAAGGGGCACATTAGTTTTAAAAAAAAAAATGTGAAGAGCATTTCTCTAGTAAACTCATTCCAGCCCTCCATCATGAAGATTTGAAATCTATTCTCTCTTCAAATTTCTTTGTTTTTTTTTTTAAGATTTTATTTATTTATTTGACAGAGACAGAGACAGCGAGAGAGGGAACACAAGCAGGGGGAGTGGGAGCTGAGCAGGGAGCCCGACGTGGGACTCGATCCCAGAACTCCAGGATCATGACCTGAGCTGAAGGCAGACACTTAATGATTGAACCACCCAGGCACCCTCTCTTCAAACTTCTCACCGCACTTAAAAGCGTACATCACACATGTATGATAGTGAAAAATTGCCAACAATTTCAAAGTCAGTCAGTAAGAGATTGGTTAAATACAACTAAACACGGCAGCAATTAAAAGTGACAGTGAAGGGGCGCGTGGGAGGCTCAGTTGGTTGAGCGTCTACCCCTTGGTTTCGGCTCAGCTCATGATCTCATGGGTCAAGGGAATGAGCCCTGCTTTGGGCTCCGCACTCAGCAGGAAGTCTGCTTGAAAGATTCTCTCCCTCTGCCCCGCCCCCCACTCATTCAATGCTCTCTCTCTCAAATAAATAAATCTTAAAAAAAAAAAAGTGACAATGAAGGCTTATAGCTATCAAATGGAACATTATCCCTGATACGATCTTAAGGTATTTTTAAAAAATGCAGGTTACTAGATAACATGTATGGTATAATCACATTTTTTAGTAAGAATGCGGTGTGTGTGTTGGCATGTCTGAACATTGATGGTAGTGATCATTTCCTTATAGTGCACTCTTTGGGATTCAAAATTGTTAATACATGTTTTTCTTGTAGCAGAAATATCAAAGTTAATTCCATTTTAATTGTATATGAAAGTGTAAAGTAAAAAAAAAAAAGAATACATAAATGTAATCTCCACTCATGGAGCCTATGGTTGGGGAATTAAGATAAACAGAGACAGATGATACACGAGACAAGGAAGGGATAATGACAGAGTGCCGTGGGCCCCGGGGGGTTCAGAAAGAGACAGTGGGTGTGTTCAGTGCAAGTTTCAAAGGCAGAACTCTGACAAAAGTATCTGGAGTTGGAGAGAAAAGGATGGAAGGGGTAAATAATGATATGAGCAGAGGCACAGAGGCAAAAAACTGCAAGATGTATTACAGACAGTAGTCTTCTTTAAATACCACTGCAACACTGGGTTGGAAAGAACTTTAATCCACAAATCAAGTACTTGATAGACTGTTCTCTGGCTCTTACTCATGTATTCACTCAACAATTACTGCCTGCATGTAAAACATTATTCCAGAGAGTAGGAACAATACATTGATAGGTAAAAATGAGATATAGTGCATACATTAGTGGGTGCTGTGATGAAAAATAAAGCAAGGCAAATGGATGAGATGAAACGTCGTGTGTGATGGATCTCTCTGAGAAATGATGTCTGAGCAGAGAACTGTATAAAGGGAGGGAGTAAAACACTTGCATATTCTGGGAGGAGC